GCCACAAGAGCCGCCCTATTTTTATTTATTTTATTTATTTATTTATTTATTTTTGAGACAAAGTCTCACAGAGTAGCTGGGACTACAGTGCCTGCTGTAACACCCAGCTATTTTTTGGTTGCAGTTGCCATTGTCGTTTACCAGGCCTGGGCTGGGCTCAAACCCGCCAGCCTCAGTTTATGTGGCTGGTGCCCTACTCACTGAGCTATGGCACCAAGCCAAAAAGCACTCATTTTAGATCAATCTTAGGTTCTGATTCAGACAACAGACATTTCTTTATATCCTGTTAGTAAAAACTAATCTGTGGCCACCTCTACAACTAGAGCTCTGTTCCTAGAGCTGAGAAGTAAAAAGTCTATTACTATCCCAGCACTTTACGAGGCCAAGGCAGAAAGATCACTTGAAACCAGGAGTTCAAGAATATTAAAAATATGAAACAATAAAAAGTTAGCTGGGGCTTGGTGCCTGTAGCATAGTAGTTACGGCTCCAGCCACATACTCCGAGGTTGGCGGGTCCGAACCCAGCCCAGGCCAGCTAAAACAACAATGACAACTGTAACAAAATATAGCCTGGCATTGTGGCAAGCGCCTGTAGTCCCAGCTCCTAGGGAGGCTGAGGCAAGGGAATCACTTCAGAGTGTGAGGTTGGAGGTTGCTGTGAGTTGGAGGTTGCTGTGAGCTATGATGTTACAGCACTCTACCAAGAGTGACACAGTGAGACTTTGTCTCAAAAAAAAAAAAAAAAAAAAGTTAGCTGGGCAGGGTGGCATGCCTGTTGTCCTAGTTTCTTAAGAGGCTGAGGAGGGAGAAGGCTGATCCCAGAGTTTGAGGTTCCAGTGCCACTGCACTCCAGCCTGGGCCACAGAGCAAGACTTTGTTTATGAAAGAGGTAACCCAGATACTGTTAAGATCCCCACACTTTGTTTTGTTTTGTTTTTTGAGACAGAGTTTCACCCTGTGGCTTTGGATAGAGTGTTGATGTCATCACACTCAAACTCTTGGGCTTAAGCAATACCCCTGCTTCAGCCCACCTAGTAGCTGGGACTACAGGTACTGGCCACGACATCCAGTTAGTTTTTCTATTTTTAGTAGAGATGGGTCTGATTCTTGCTCAGGCTGGTCTCGAACTCCTAAGCTCAAGTGATATACCTGTCTCGGCCTTCCAGAGTGCTGGGATTACAGACGTGAGCCACCACATCCACACTTTGGATTCAGTGTCCCAACCCATCCATACCAGCCTTGGTTGTCACCTCTATTATAGCAGTTAACACATGTTCTCTGATATATATTTAGTAAATACTTTTTCGTCTATCATTAGATTAGAAATACTAGAGTGAGACAAAATCAGAGTTTAATTTTCCTAAAAACATAAACTATATCTTATTAAACACTATAACACAGGCTTTTGTATCCACACTCATGTACACACACACCACAACCAGAGTCAGTGTTCATTTAACTGAAATGTGTACTGACCTGAGCCTAGATCCTGTCCCTTGGCAAAAACCATTTCCCTGGCATTGGTCATTTCCCACAGTAGAATGTGTTGGTAAATGGTTATCATTTTCCACACGGAAGAAATAAAAAGCCAGACCCACAAATGCAAATATACAGCTGCATTACAAACTCAAAGTGGGTGGCACCTGTGGCTCAGTGAGTAGGGTGCCAGCCCCATATACCAAAGGTAGAGGTTTCAAACCCTGCCCTGGCCAAACTGCAACCAAAAAATGGCCAGGCGTTGTGGCGGGCACCTGTAGTCCCAGCTACTCGGGAGGCTGAGGCAAGAGAATTGCTTAAGCTCAGGAGCTGGAGGTTGCTGTGAGCTGTGTGACACCACGGCACTCTACCAAGGACCACAAAGTGAGACTCTGTCTCTACAAAAACAAACAAACAAACAAACTCAGCAAGGAGTCTGGGCCTGGACCATCCTCGGAAGAACTTAAGCAAAGACAAGAAGAAAACAGGTGACAATGAGGGCTACTCAGACATTCAGCACTATAGTTTAGGATTCTGTCTCTACTGTACAGGGCATGAACCCTGACAGCATTCACTGGACAATGAATGGAAAACTATTTTAAGCATCTAATTGGATTAGGAGTGAGAGGAGGGGGAATTTTTTTTTTTTTTTGAGACAGAATCTCACTCTGTTGCCCAGTCTAGAGGGCCATCACTTCAGCCTAGCTAACAGCAATCTCAAACTCCTAGGTTCAAGCGATGCTCCTGCTTCAGCCTCCCAAGTAGCTGGAACTACAGATGCTTACAAAGAAGTCTGGCTAATTTTTCTATTTTAGTGGAGATAGGATCTCCCTCGTGCTCAGGCTGGTCTCGAATTCCTGAGCTCAAGATAATCCTTCCATCTCAGTCTCCCAAAGTGCTAGGACTACAGGCATGAAGTAACCATGCATGGCTGAGGAGGAGGAAGTTTAAAAATAAAATACACAGCAACTTAATTATTCTTAGGATTTGCTTTATAATATTTAAAAACATCGGCTCGGCGCCTGTGGCTCAAGTGGCTAAGGCACCAGCCACATACACCTAAGGTGGCAGGTTCGAATCCAGCCCAGGCCTACCAAAACAACAATGACAGCTGCAACCAAAAAATAGCCGGGCGTTGTGGTGGGTGCCTGTGGTCCCAGCTACTTGGGAGGCTGAGGCAGGAGACTCGCTTAAGTCCAGGAGTTGGAGGTTGCTGTGAGCTGTGATGCCACAGCACTCTACCCAGGGGGACGGCTTGAGGCTCTGTCTAAAAAAATATATATTTAAAAATATCTTTGTGGGCGGCGCCTGTGGCCCAAAGGGGTAGGACGCCAGAGGTGGCGGGTTCAAACCCAGCCCCGGCCAAAAAACTACAAAAAAAAAAAAAAAATTAAAAATATCTTTGTGGGTTCATTGACTTTAACAAAAATGCCCTCTATCTCTTGGGATTTCTAGGTTAATAATTCATGCTATGCAAATATGAATACTGGCACTCTTTGTTAAGATAAATAAGTAATGTATAGTCACTGCCTTTTAGGCTGGTCATCTGCTGTTGGCAAAAGGAATTGGATTTTCAGTCTAAATCAAGGATGGGCTCTTTAACTAGCTGTGTGACCCTTAAAAAAACCATCACCTCTTCCAGTCTATTTCTTTATTGTCATATATGAAAAATCCCTCATATGAAAACCACCTGAGGATTAAATATTATAATGTATGTCAAAGATGCTCTGTAAACTATAAAGGACAACCCAAATATCAGTCACCTGTTACACTGCAAGCTTTGGAGCATGAGACCTTACATAAAGCTGGTGCTCATTATTTGTAGTATAAATGAATAAATTACACTGATCTCAGGCAAGAATAATCTTTCTCTCTTTAGCCTTGTCTGATTCCACTTTCCCCTTTGTTTATTGGGCTTCAGCCATACTGTCTTTTTTCCTGTTCCTTGAATACATCAAGCTCCCTCCTTCTTCAGGGCCTTTGTTCCTGATCTTTTCCCTGCCTGGAACATTCTTCTCCAGCCCTTTGCATGGCCATCTCCTTCTTACCAATTGGGTTGTAGCTTTAGTGTTATTTTTTTGGAGGCTTTCCCTGATCACCCTGACTAATGCTCCTTCCACATCATTTATCAGTAAACATTTATTGCTATCCATTAACTTTATTTTTTTGAGACAGAGTGTCACTCTATCATTTGGCTAGAGTGCTATAGAGTCAGCTCACAGTAACCTCAAAACTCTTAAGCTCAGTCAATCCTCTTGCCTCATCCTCCCAAGCAGCTGGGAATATAGACGCCTGCTACAATGCCTCGCTGGCTCATTTTTTCTATTTTTAGTAGAGACAGGGTCTTGCTCCTGCTCAGGTTGGTCTCAAACTCCTGAGAGCAATCCACCAGTCTCTAGACTCCCAGAGTCCTAGGATTACAGGCATAAGCCACCTTGCTGAGCCTCGTTATCTTTTTTATTACACTCTCATCCGCTTCAATAAAAAATACTCTACCAGAACCTCCCTGACTTTCTCACCATCATATTCCAATGCCCAAAATATCATCCAGCTCATAGTAGACTCTCAATAAATTAATATATGAATAAATGAGGTTGAAATGAGCTAAAAGTCTTATGACTCACACAGCTGAGAAGGAGACATGGACCCCACTTAAATGTAAATAATTAATAGAAATTTATTGTACCTGTGCAGGGGTCGTTGCAACCCTGAATGACAGATCAAATGGGTCTTTATACCCTATTTCTGCATCACCGCAAACAGGCAGAGGTACAGAAGCTGAATCATTGCAGTTAGCCTTGGGTGGGGGGAATTGCATGCAGGGGGCAGGAGGTATGTCAAGCCTCTCCTTCCTACGTACACTCTTTCTTTCTTTCTTTCTTTCTTTTTTTTGAGACAGAGCCTCAAGCTGTCACCCTGAGTAGAGTGCTATGGCATCACAGCTCACAGCAACCTCCAACTCCTGGGCTCAAGCGAGTCTCCTGCCTCCGCCTCCCAAATAGCTGGGACTACAGGTGCCTGCCACAATGCCTGGCTATTTTTTGGTTGCAGCCGTTATTGTTGTTTGGCGGGCCCGGGCTGGATTCAAACCTGCCAGCTCAGGTGTATGTGGCTGGTGCCTTAGCTGTGTGAGCCACAGGCACCAAGCCTCCTATGTACTTTCTTAACTCAAGTTTCTCCTCAAAGTTCTTCCCCCTCCCTATGCACTCCTTTATCTTCAGGCCTCTTCTCAGAGTTCTCCCCACCCTTGAGGGGGCTGGGACTAATGGATTCAAAGGAAGTTTCTTTTTTAAGGGTAGGGGGCTTGGTTATCACATTCCCCACTGGTTTTAATGGGAAATCAAATTCTTGATTTATCTGCGTTTACTTTTTCCTGTGTGATATCGCCCCCGCCCCTTTTTTGAAAGTTTAGTTTAAAGTCCAATTAAGACAAGTCCCTCAAGGAGTTTCCTCAGGCTTCAGCCGTGTATTGACCAGCCAGCTTCCAGTATGTGGCTGGAGCAGGGCATGTTGGATGTCTTTACCTTTACTTCCTAAGGGGCAATGAAGCTTTATTCAGCCGGCTGTGATGACTCCAGGTGAGGATTCTCCTTATTCTCACTGTTGTGTGTGTGGTTAGGATGATGGTGTAAAATCCTTTCTACCTTGGTTTGAGGAGGAACAGGTTCTGATTCTGGACCTAGACTTGGTCTTTTTGATCCTCCAGAAAGAAAGAATGTACAGACACAAAGACTAAACAAAACACGGTTAATTATTCAAGTGGAGATCTTTTGTTATTTTTTCTAGGTTTTTTTTTCTTTATCTATTTCATTTTTTTAGTCTCTTTTAGTTTCTTTAGGATCCCCTGCTAAATTGTAGAGGATTGACAGACGCCTTTTTGAATAACACAGTGACAAAGGTCTGTATTTAATTAAGTTTTGCTTCCTGGCTCGGTGCTTGTGGCTCAAGTGGCTAAGGCACCAGCCACATACACCTAAGGTGGCAGGTTCAAGTCCAGCCTGGGCCTGCCAAACAATGATGGCTGCAACCAAAAACTAGCCAGGTGTTGTGGCGGGCGGTTGTAGCTACTTGGGAGGTAGAGGCAGGAGACTCACTTGAGCTCAGGAGTTGGAGGTTGCTGTGAGCTGTGATGCCACCGCATTCTACCCAGGGCAACAGCTTGAGGCTCTGTCTCAAAAAAAAAAAAAAGTTTTGCTTCCTATCAGAGTTTATGGATTCTTGTTTTTATGGCCTTGTTCATGTACTTTATTCAAGCTTTGAGGCCTATAAGTTACATATAGTTTCTAGATGATATTTAAAGCTTTAGTTATTATTTGCATTATGTCTGCTATAAAGGCTAGCCCATTGTCAAATATAAACCAGAGTAGTAACTTAAACTATGGGATAATTTTTCTGGGCAACATTTAGATGCAGCAGATAATATTTAATATTGCACACATTTTTCAGTATAGCTAACAGGTGATTTTTGTTGAGTCTTAAGACTTCAGAGCAAACATAATTACTATAATTACAGTATATAATTCTGTATTTTTCCCTTAGTTCCATTTAACAGATCAGTCTAGTAAAACAGTTATGTCTCATTTCATCAGTTGACAGTACAGCAAGGCTGAGATTTAATACAGGTGGGCTATAGCCTTTTTTTGAACTATTTTTCTCTCTCTGATTTCCTTTCTTCACCAAAGACAAATTTTAGCAGAACTAACTCAGTTGTTAAATAAAATGCACCTTAGTATACTGGGTTTGATTATTTGTATAAAGTGCAATAAGAATAATTAATTATTAGCCACTTAGGCTCTCCTTTAGAATTGACTTTGCTGGAATCTTTTATAAGGAATTGTTAGGCCTGACTTTCTTAAAAGCCTTTTATGAGCCCAGGTTTAACCTGTGCCATCTGTGCCGTTAGATACCTTTATGCAGTGGATCAATTTTACTCCTCTTGAAGTTTCCAAGCACATTTTGATTCCCAGACCTGTTAGAAAGCAACCTTCATTACTTACCACAGATCCGGAAATATTATTGATGGGAATCTGGCCAGTTTTTTCAAGGGGCTTTTTTTATTGGCTTTATAAAGTCAACCTTAATTCCTTAACGCAGTCTGGACACCTCTGGAAATGTTATTCCAGCCAAAGCCTTGGTAAAATAACCAGTGCCTTCATCATGTCTTATAGAACAAAACAGATTCTTATTGAACTTATGCAAATAACTGTATTGTCAGAAATTAAGAATACTTACAAATGGCTTTTAAATTCCAGAGAAATCAAGGAGAGAGAAAAAAATACATGTTTCAAACTCTGCTCATAAGTACATACATTGCTTGGAAAGCTATAAATAGCTCAAAAGACAGAAAATGGTTTTTTTGACTTCTAGAAAATAGAGCACAGACAGAATCAACAATATTTCAAAAAGTTATAACAAACTTGTCCATTTCCTCGTAACTGATTTCTGTTCAGTTTGAAGTTAGGTTAGCAATACTCATAGACATGTTAACTTTCCAATGAAAGTTTTAAAAATCTGTTTTTAGCCTGAAGGTACTCAAATTCTAAAGACATCAGAAATTTGAATTGAGAGAATCCATTAGCCTCTTTTAATATATTTTTTAGGACAAACTTTGGACTCAGTCAGTTATAAAAAACACTTTTTTTCCTTTTTTGAGATGGATTGAAATTATTACCAACAATATATGTTAGGACAGATCAATGTCTTATAATGTTAGAGTATACATATAACCATATGCACACAAAATTAATTACCATTTCATATTTGACAAGGTTTCCTATACATTTCTAACAAATCAAATAAGTTTAATTTGTTTTCCTCAGGTTTAGAACCTGTCTGCCTCAGTGCATGTGGTCTGTGCCATAACCACTATGCTACAAGTACCAAGTCCCAAATTTAGAATTTTTATTTTGGAAAGTTTGTCAAATATCAAAGGCTTAAAACATTTGTTCAAACAAGATTACAAGTTAAAAGATTTTTTTTTTTTTTTTTTAGATGGAGCCTCAAGCTATCCCCCTGGGTAGAGTGTCATGGCATCACGCTCACAGCAACCTCCAACTCCTGGGCTCAAGCGAGTCTCCTGCCTCAGCCTCCCAAGCAGCTGGGACAGGCGCCTGCCACAATGCCTGGCCATTTTTTGGTTGCAGCCATCATTGTTGTTTGGCGGGCCCAGGCTGGGGATTTGAACCCGCCACCTTAGGTGTATGTGGCTGGCACCTTAGCCGCTTGAGCCACAGGCGCCGAGCCAAGTTAAAAGATTTTAAAAGAAATACATAGTCAACTGGATCACTTGTAAACTCCTTTACAAAATCTCTTTTATAAGCTTCATTCAACCTGCACAGACAATCTACAAATATTCTAAATCTTCTTTAAATTTTGCCCTGCTTTTTACTTTCTTAGACAACCATTTTGTTTCAGGACAAATTTATCACACAAGATTCTTTTCTTACACAATGCCATTTTTCTGTCTAATTGCCCTTATTTCCAAAAACTCACTTTTTATAAAACAAGATCACAGTTAACCATTCACTTACTAAACTGACAATTGGAAGGTTTAAAAGGCAAGACTTTGACAAAGTCTTGACAAAGTCTCTTTGACAAAGACTCAGTTTTTCCAACAATTTAAATAACCAAGTTATTACATGTTACAAATGAGAGACATTTTATGAAATATAACATTGATTTTCCCACTCAGGGCTAGACAGGGAATCCTTATTTTTTTAGGCTCAGGTAAGCTCAGAAATCAGATTTTCATTTCCAGGCACAAATACATTGCAGGCCATACCCTTTGAGCCCTAGCAAGGTTATGAATAAAGCAGTCCCAAGAAGTCCATAATTAGATGGCTTCACCCTGACTAAGGAGCACACACATCTTCTCCCCAGACAAAACCACTGTAAAGATCTAATAACCTTATCCAAGGCAAGGGAATTGAATTCATTCATTTGCTAAAACACTCATTCAGTTTGTAAAGATATTTTTTTATCTACTAAGTTTTGGCTAAAATATTTCTCAGGGCCAATTATTTATCTTTAGACAAAGGACACATGCAGGAAACCTCTGACCAGGGCTTTCTCCCCTCTTCCAGAGGCTGATCATTCTGGGGATCTGTTGTTGATATGGACACAGCCCCACTAAGCATGAGATTTACACTCTCTCTCCCAGAATTTCAAGGGCCATTCAGAGCTCGTCGGAATGCCCGAACTGCAATACTTTCCAAGGCACAGCCACTCTGCCAATAGCTCTGGCATTTTCCACTTTCTCTGCATGTCTTTCAGTTTAACAAAATCTCATTTTATTACTAATCTGTGGCCCGTGGGGCTCAATTCTCAAATTTCTGAGACTAAAGATTCACTGAAGAAATTCCAGTAATAACTATAACAACATCTGGAACTTTTACCCTTTACTTCTGAGGTGGAGTCACAATAGTAGGTTTATTGTCAGAGCCTGCTCTTTTCCTGCATGTTTATTTCTCTATTGGTGAGCTGCTATCACAGAGGACCACTATGGGACCTCCCTATCACTCTGCAGAAATCCTCATCTCCGTGTAATCAGCATGGGAGGGCACTTAAGGAATGGCGTCAGCTAGGGTGCTGTGGAGCACTTCTATTAGGGAACCAGAGTGTTGCAGGAAAACAGTGAATTAAAACAGACAGACACTTATACCAACATTATAGAGGAAGGAACCCTTAATTGTTGTCAAGAACTCAGGTGTTTCAAGGCATAAAATGCTGAATTTTAGGGAACTCTTTTCTAAATTCTCTCATACCCCTTTTTTCCTTTTCCTCTTCAGTTCAATATCAGCTATGTAATTATAGTTACAGATGTGAGAAATCAGGGTGGTGGTGTTAGTTACAAAATTCTTTTTGTTCAAGGTTAATTTAGCTCACTGTAGTTTGCTCTTATCTTTAGAGGAGTTCCTCGCAGCTGCCTGCCATTTTTTCAAGATTACTAAGAAGTATATTGTTATTCATTTTAGTTAGTTTCCAGGCACTCACATACACGCATTCTAACTCATTTCTTAATCTAGGCAACTTTGAATATTCACCCTGATTTCCATTTAAGACAGAACTAGTGAGAAAACAGAAGGGGTAAGTCACTGGGATCTTTATATGGTTCAAGAGTGTTTTTACTTCCTGCAATAGAGACCTTCTTAGACTAGGAAAAGGAGAGAACCCCATGTTGAGGGCTAGTAGCTCTGATAGAAGAGGCTTTCCCAAGTGACAGAAGAAGGGGAGGCCCAAAGTTCAGTGATGATGGGGTATCAGAGAGCTAGGAAGGCACAGAAGAATTAGAACTAGCTGGGAAAAATTCTCCAGGTGTGGACAGAAGTATGAAAAAAGTTACCAAAAAGAGGTTAAAAACAAGTCAAGGTCACACACTCCGTGGTGGACCAGTCCAGAGGAGCAGTGCTACCAAGCCAAATACCAATAGTAAGGATGAAGAAACCAATGAATTCCAAGCCAAAAGTATACCAGGCAGTGAGGGGTGTAGGACACATAAGAGTAAGTAGGTAAATAAAACGATTTCAGGAGGAGCAAAGTCTTGAAGGGTACCTTGGAGGAAAAGATCTGCAATCCACTCA